GGTGACATTGTTGGGGAATTTCCTAAGACGAAGCCGAAGCCGTTGGTACAGAGTCCTGGCGGCTCCGGAAAAAGTGCAACGCCAGCGTCAGGCAAAAGGAAGCGAGAGGAGGAGCGAAATGTGAGTGAGAAGCAGACTGCCGGTAAACCCAAAAGGTTCATTCCGAAGGTAGCACCGAGTAGCCCTTCTCGAACCAAAGAAGCAACTCTCCCAGAACAGCCACAGTCTTCGAAGCCCGCTGCATCCGGGAGCCGGGGTCGCTCTGGCAAGGTGCTGGAAACTACTCCTCTCCGCCGTAAGTGTTCTTGACTTCCAGTAATTCTTCATGCCCCTCCTTTTGCTTTGCGTGTATGATATGTGGGTAGATACTTATTTACATATATATATATATTTTTAGGGAAAATGGGTGCCACCCCAAAGAGGAAGAGAAGTGACACACCCCCGGTATCTCCTCAGGTGACCCCTAAACGTCGAAGCGTGCGCATTCTACATGCGAGATTTTCTGGAACACGCACCAGTACTGTTGAAGCTGCCGGAACCCCAACTGTAGTGACAGTTGACGATGATAGTGATGATAGTGACACCGCCTAATCCGAGGCTAATGTTCCAGAGCAAGAGAACGTTGACGATGCTAGTGAAGATTCTGACAGGGACTTCGATGAGGGTTGCAGTGAGGGTGCATTTGCTTATTCCAGTGACTATCCAGGAGGACAAGGTGGTTCAGATGTTTTCTTCGAGTCCACTGATAGCAGTACACGCCGTTTTAGCGCTGAACAGGTAACTGACGCGTTTTAAGCCTTGTCCCCCTCTCTTCCTCACACCATAATCTGTACACTCGACGCGTGGTCATCCTGTAGGTTATTAACATTGCTGAGGACTCAAACCCTGCTGCGGCCATTGCTAATCCTGCCCGGACCCCCCTTGAGGTATCCGTACCGATAATATTCTATTTACCTTCTTCTCCTACTCATCTGCCAATACCCATTACCTGTCAATTATCAAGTACTAACCCTTGCATGCGCCCCTTTCTTTTTTGCAGGTTGAGCATCTTGCTTCGAATTTGGAAATTGTGCCCGTAGTACCTTCTTCCTTCAACACATTCGATACACTGGTCGAGGCAGCCCTCACAGGATCCTCTCCAACCATGACACCAACGGATTCTCGGGATGAAATGCCTACGTTCCAAGTTACAAGCCCTTTACCACCTATCTTCCAACATTTTCTCCAGAGAGACCTTGATCCTGCCATTTCGCCAGCCTTTCCAGCAGCCATTCCTTTGCCGTCCAAACAGCCCTGCTCTTTCCATCCCACGTTCAACCACTACTCCGGGCGACAGGGCCTAGTCCCCTAGCACTTCTTCCAGCGATTCAATGTGACAATGCGAGCACTGCTGAAAACGCCCAATCTATCATTACTGTTGCCGATTTATTTTAGAACGAACTTCGTACTAACCTGAATCGTCCGATTTGAAGGACCAATCGACATCGGACTGAGTCCAAAACTTGGGGAACATCATAATATGGTGGGAGGGGTCATTTGGGGGGGTTCAAGTGAAATCCAATGGTTAGAACTATGGAATACACGAACCACTCCATTTCAGAACGTACTGTGCACGAAAATGAATTGTCCGATTTCGT